GGCGGGTCTGGATGTGGGTATAGGGTGTGCGTATGGGTGTGGGTGTGGGTGTGGATGTGGGGTGTGGGTCTGGGTTTGGGTGTGTTTGGGTGTGGGTGTGGGTGTGGGTGTGGGTGAGGGTGAGGGTGTGTGGGTGTGGGTATGGGTGTGGGTGAGGGTGAGGGTGTGTGGGTGTGGGTATGCGGTGTCGGTGTGGATGTGGGGTGGTGGTCTGGGTCTGGGTGTGTTTGGATGTGAGTGTCGGTGTGTCGATGTGGGTGTGGGTATGCGGTGTGGGTCTGGGTCTGGGTGTGGGTATAGGGTGTGCGTATGGGTGTGGGTGTGGATGTGGGGTGTGGGCCTGGGTCTGGGTGTGTGGGTTTGGATACTCATGTCACCTGCCCACACCGTCACCCACCCACACCCACACCCCACCCACACCCACACTCCACCCAAACCCACACCATCCACCCACACCCACACCACACCCCGCACCCACACCCACACCCACACCCACACCCCACACCCGCACCCATACCCAAACTGACACCCGCATTCTCCTCTTGCATATCTTTACATTACCGTTTTATTCATAATCATAGTATTTTTTTTCTAATAAAAGTGCAATCATCACAACGAAAACAGCTTCATGTTTGAATAAAATTCGTTTTTTTTTCTGTGTATACTCAACTTAATTATGTTTGTGAACACTTACATCTACGTGCATAATAATGAAGAAAACGAAAAGAAACAGAAAACATAAAACAGAAGAGAAATGAGAGTCCTAAAATTATTTGTTCACTTGCAGTCTTAAATATAATTGCGATCAACATGTCAACGAGAAAAGAAATATTTTTCTAAGACGAGTAAGCAATGAGATTTTTCTTTGACTCTAGTCGACATCAAGTAATGTTCAGTATTGACATTTTTTTTTACGCTATTACTATTCTCTATTCGTAAGAATATTCTCAAATTCGAATTTAGAATCAGTGAATTATTTCGAACTATTTCATGGTTAGGCATTCTGTGAGCATCGATATCAGTCGATTCATAAAATGCGCTGATAAACATCTTTTCAAGCTATTGCCATGCCATTTTCTTGTAGGAAAAATTCAATAAAGAAAAGCTCTTCATTTTCTAAATGGAAAAATTTTACAAGAGATGTAAGACAAACAAAATTAGTTTGAATAAGAGAATTTTTTTCTCATACTCTTATTTTTTTTCTACCGTTCCCTTTGGGCGGCACCAACGAGTATGAAAACAAATGTTAAAAGAAATAACATATTATAGTCTTATTTTCTATTGACAATTTCTTCTTCTTGTTTGTCGCTGAACAGAAACGCAAGCGATGCTAGAACATTAAGATGACATTGTTGACGTTGAGAAATGAAACATGAGCGTTCCTTGACAGTCTTTTCAGGATACGAATGAAAAAGAACAATTGAAAAAAAGAGAGCAATACTTGTTAGTGTGTTCACGTTTTAGCACCTACCATTTATATTCGTTGCCGTCAGGGACGGCGCGAAGAGGTCGGAGCAGGGGGGAGGCAGTCCTAAAATTGGAGAAAGTCAAAAAGTGTTCTCTAAACTGAAATTTTCTCCGAATCAGAATTTTATAATATACTTCTCCAAAATCGGAGAAAATCGCCTACTCATTTTTGTCCAAAATTGGATTTTTCCGGATTTATAGAAATATATTCAACACTATTGTATAAATTCGCAGAAAATTCTAGTTTGGAGAGCATTTGTGGGCGATTTTCTTCGATTTTGGAGAAATTTGTGTAATATATTTCTCGAAAATCGGAGAAAATCGCCTAAAAATGCCCTCCAAACTTGAATTTTCTCCGAATTTAGAGAAAACTATCAAGCATATTTCTCCAAAATCTAAGAAAATTGCTTTGTAAATTCTCCAAAATCGGAGAAATTATCGTAGTAAATTCTCCGAAATCTGAGAAAGTATCAGCCAAAATTTTCTGGAGCAGGAGGGGGGTGACCTCCCTATCCCTCGGGTCGCGCCGTTCCTGATTGCCGTTGCTATTTGTTATTACTTTTTTAAGATTCCTTTGTGGAAAAGAGTCGAAGATATCATTTCTCAACTTTTACGAACATATTCGTCTATTTCATTGATAATGATATTTTCTCTACTGCGTTTTTTCGCATTACTAACTCTCACTCGAACAGTATGGGGTGCAGCAAATAAATCTTTTGCTGATTGTCAGCAAGTCGCTACACAATTTGCCAACACTGTTTCAAATGGACCTGTGACCAATATCATGAATACAACAGGAGTCAATGTCACATGCCCACAAATAAGCAATGCATCCTGTCCTGGTTCAATGATCAATGGTGTTTGTGTTTGGCAACAAAAGTTATTGTGTAACATGTATCAACGGTTCAACAGTACGCATACGTGTTCAATCCAATGGACTTCCTCGACGATGCACCATTTTACCTACTGATGCTGTATTTGCTGAGCGTAATATTGATTTTGAAGTGAATTTCAATCCAGATGTTAGTGTTAATTCACCTAATCATGCACCCTCAACAGCTGCAGCTCTGAACAATATTCTATGCAATATATCCAATCATATGAGTGTACCTTCAACCTCGGCTTACACTCGTTTGCCAGCTAGCATGCCAATCGATGTTTTAGCTGGTGTGGCTGTTGATGGTGTTACGATTCTCAATGTGAACAGTATCAATCAAGTCGATCCTTTCTATCCACCACCCGGTTATCCAATGGAAGGTGCCGATCAATGTTTGTCTCATCCAACTGGAGCTGGAGAATTTCACTATCATATTTCAAGTGGATGCATACTCAATCCTCCCAAAGGCACTGTTAGCGGATGTGGACCTGATATTGGTTGCGCGAATAATATATCGAGTTATTCGATTTCGACTTTTTCTGCATACAGACGTTTGACACTAATTGGTATAGCTAAGGATGGTCATCTCATTTATGGTCCTTATCTATCATCGGGTGTACAAGTGACAACAGGTTTTGATATTTGCAATGGTATGTTCTATGATTCCTTCGGCAACTATGCATATTTTGCAACAGAAACATATCCTTACGTTACGGGCTGTTTTGGACCGGGAAATTATCCATCATTCACTCCCAATTGCACTACCAATGCTCCCAGCGGCTATATCAAGTCATCATTTGCTGCTAGCTTTTCTTCGTCGAATACCAACCCAGTTAAAGTTTTACCATGGTTTTCTCGCTTCTTCATGATATGCTTGTCGATGATGATCATATTCTTATTACAAGCCGACTAACAAAAAGATAAACAAAGACTTATCTTCATTCGCTTGCGTATGACACATTGACTCTCAATTTATTACATTATTAATTGTTGTTTGAAGGATCGTAGCTATAGATGTGGCGAACGATTCTCGTTTTCGTTCTTTATTCTGACCGATTCAGCAGTATTGACGAGAAACACTGTATGAGTGCCTTCCCTTTGATGAAAGTAAAGAATAATCAAACGTCTTTGTAAGAGAGATGAATAATGGTTGAGTTCGTTCTTGAAAATGATTGATTTATTAGTATTGTTGATCATCAGAAATACATATTGTATTGAGTGATTCATGAGAAATAGTTTGACATGTTATGGTAATTCTCTTTTTCATTCTAATGTATTGACGAACTAAATTATGACGTTTCGTTCTTGAAAGCAAGTTTGTCAAATATTAAATTATGGATAAATGAGGCACACATCAAAACAGAAGGGTGGGATGTGGGTTCGGGCTCGGACGTAGTTGTAATTGGATACGAGTGTGGATGTCTGAAGAAGTGTAAACTATATCCACACGCTCCTTCATCAAATGTGATCGAAATAAACCGTGAAAAACAAAAGAATTATCATAATCATATATTATTAACGCTTTTTTCGATGTACGATGCTGAAGGAATACTTGCTCGTTATGGCGATTTACTCTTAAAGATTCAACTTATTCTCAACTACTCGATTTTCTTTCTGCACTAATTGCTTACATCCTATCAGATACTGTGAGTTTTCGATAAGTGTTAATGATTTTTCTCGACCATGGGTATTCGATGTATTTCGAAGTGTTGGATTTTAAGACGAGATGGCAAGAAGACATGGTTAAATTCATAAAGAATATCATACACATAAATCAATAAATGAATTAAGTTCTCTTTTACAATTAGTTCTCAATGATTATTTTTCTCATCTTGAATTTGCTTTTATCGTACTAGAATCTGGCAATAGAGAAAGTCTTCGTCTTACAACATTCAAGATGACTTATAAGTTTCTGACTGTTTTTGATTGCCAAAAAATCGAAACATCTCTATTTAAAGTTACAAATGAACCTCTTCGTTTTTTGCTCGAATATTCACAACAAGCAATTCTGTTTAAAATTAGAAAATTATAAATAGCAAGAAAGAAGCGGTAAATTCAGCGGCGAACGAAGAACGTCTATTTAGTGATTTTTCGAAAAAAACTCAAGAATCTGAAGAGTAATGCTGGTGTGATACCAGCTCTTTATGATTGAGTAGACAAGCCAGATCTCTTTCACGATGAGTTAGGATATCCATATTATCCATTTGTGGCGCATCCATTCATTGAATGTATTCAAAGTAGTTAAAGAACTGCAAAAAACATAGGCAGCAAGCACGTTTTCGGTATGCCTATGAGTTGTGATGAAAATACCATATTTGCTGACGACAGCATACAAGCATATCGATTATTAGTTGTTCATATCTATATTGGTTTGCGTTGCTTACAATTCCTTCAGCAAGAATTCAAATACGGCATTCGAATCAGTCATGGTACTGCTTTCGATCGTATTCTTGGCAGAAATTCGAGAACATACTGAAAATCTAAAGAAGATATTCGCTTCTGAAGTAAATGTTATTAGTACTAAATATTTATTAGGGCAAACGTTACGTCAAAAAGACAATAGACAACCGCTTCGTGTCGATAAGTTATTTAGAAAAATACCTATTATTCTTGCCACCAATAATGATAGGATCTGATCTATCCATCAATATGTATTTACTCATTCGGTTCATTAGTCCGTGACTGCTGAATGTTGCCGAGCGCTTTCACCTGGTCTTTTTGGAATACTAGGTGGAAATACACCAATACCATCTAACAGAAATGTTATTCCTCTCGATGACTTCGTGATCAATACTATCATCCTACATTCGGATATTCTCAGACGTCTTTTTGAGCAATACCATCGAAAACTAATTGCAATAAAACTCGGTTTTGAAAGGTACCCAATCGATACACAGATCATTGATATTGTTCAAAAGGACAAAATCAAAAATTCGTAAAGAATATCATACTCCATTCGGACAAAATAATAACGAATTATATATCGTTTATGATTTTTGGAGAGAAAGCCATTCAAAATTTATACATTTTTCAATTATGACGTGAAAGATTCTCAAAATTATAGCACTGATGACCATGCCCTACTGACAAAAGATATTTTACTTCAAAATACAAGGACTTAACACAGTCACAAGATGAATATCTGATTGAATTCATACGTTAGTATCGGTTATTACCATGCATGATTCATACCTCTGGAAATCAAATCAATATTGAAAATACGATGGAAGTTTTCGAAAACCTACGGAGTGACGCCGGCAGTGAACAAATATATAAACACATGACTGTATATATTTATATGACTATACACAGACAGAAACATTGGCCTCACAAATTAAGTAAGAACTGGGGTGTGGATGTGGGTGGGTGTGGGTGGGTGAGGGTGTGGGTGTAGATGTGGGTGTGGGTATGGGTGTGTGGGTGTGGACTTTATTAAAGATCACACCCACACACCCACACCCACGCCCACACCCACACACACCCACACACCCACACCCACCCACATCCTCTTGATTGGTTATTTACTGAAATATATTCTTCTTCTTCTTTTGTTGTTTCCCACTCTACTGCCTATTTCAAAACAGAAGGTGTGTGGGTATTTTTTGAATAACTTTAAATAGAAACAAGATAGAGAACTACGATTTTCATCGTTGGAAAGAGGTTTATCCAGTGCATTGATTCATATAAATTTATTGAATTTTATTTCCTAAATAAATAATGATGTAGCGTGTGAATATGAGAGCGTGTAGATTTGGTGTGTGGCTAAGGCTATGGCTGTGGCTCCTGGTGTATCGATATTCCACATTCACACCGACCCACACCGAAAATGTCTGCTTCAAGTCTTGAGAAAAATTCATTGCCTTTGGGCATATTTATAGAGGATGTTGATAGTAGAAATAACTAATGAACGCTTCTGGGTACGTCACTTTTAGTCAGAAGCATTTGTGAAATATAATCTATGTATTCCAAGTTAACAATGTAATAGCATATCAGAGCTATAGTGTTTAATGGCTAGCTATAGTATTTTGATAGAAAAAGAATTGCTCTATAGCAAAACAAGCATTACCCATTGATTTGTCATGATCAAAAACATCATTAATAATTGTTTAAAAAATATTGTGCGCCGGGTAAAATTCACAAAAAGATTGCTCAAGTACCGTTAGTATTTGATTCATAACTTGTGAACTAAATGAGATAAATGTTTCGATCTTTCGTAGATTGATAGCCCGCCAGCTGGCGATTTTAGTCCACTCCTCAAAGTTAAAGATTCATTCTATCTTCATAGAGCAAAAGTCTACTCTTTAAAAATGACCATACATCACTGCTTATTTAGGAAATAAATCTCAATGATTTGATATATGAATCGATGCGCTGGATAATTCTCTTTCCAGCGGTGAAAATTGTAGCTCTCTAGCTTGTTTCTATCGAAAGTTATTCAAAAAATACTCACCTGCCTTCCTTTTTGAAATGAGCAGTAGTCCTTATTGAACTGGTAACAGCAGAACAGCTTGTTTTCTCATGAATTTCCAAAATTATTGACAATTGACAATACAAAAAGCTTAGCTCTTCCTTAAGAGTATGCGAAATACAAACTATCTTCTAAAATCGTCTGTCGAATCAAAAAGCGTGGTGGTTCCTACTATTCAACTTGTAACTGGTACAATAGATCAAGTTCTATCTACAAACATCATGAATATTGTTTCTTGCGGTTTATGAACCAATCGGCACTTTCTTTCATGATGACGTTTGAATTTTCAACAATAATTTCTGAAATCGATGGGAGAGATCAAAAGTTTAGAAAATACTTGCTTTTTTACTAAGCATGTTGCAGCTTATTGAGGACAACAGTTTTTTGACAATAGAAACTTTTTAAGCTTCAGATAGTGACTCTAATTTGTAGAGGATGTTAGATTTTCGTTGAATAAAAATTTTCGCTTGAACCTAGCTGTGAAGAGTTTTAATGGAAATCAAAAATAGAATGTACTAGTGGGTTTTTTTGCTATTGGTAAACTAACAGTCGTAATGCACGAGCGTGGATCGTCGATTTGGGCTGAACATGAATGATTTTAGTTAAAGACAAATCGAGTTTTTAAGGAGATTGTATCATAATTTGTCGTGATAACTTGATATTTGTTTCGAATGTGGTGTGGACGGATCGAGCTGTGTTCATCAAGAGAAGACCCTCATTAACATTTCTATTTCTAAGCCAACTTTTTAGAAGTTCATTTTCTGTATGTTTGATCTTTATGTTGAACTACTTTTGCACTCCAATCAGTTATCTCCATTCAATGTTTGATTTAATTTTACAATCATAATTATATGGTCTGTTCAAAATCAAAAACAGTTGATGGCATTCATAGTAACAATTATGTCTAACGAACTCTATATATTGCAGTAATTAAGAAGACAAGAAGCACTACTGTACTTTAGCATTCTCTACAAATGACCGATCGTTAAATTGAAATAATGAAATTCAATCTTTAGTGTACTCTATAAATTTCAGCAAGTTAAAAAAAATAACTAAACGTTTAAGTTGTATTAAACTTGTTATCAGTAATTTTTTTGAAATTGGAAAACCGAAAATTTGAGACCTAAGAGTATTTTAAATTTGAATAAATTAAATTTAAAAAACAGCTGAAATTGAATTTGACAGATTTTAAATATCGCTTTCATGTTCGCAAATGAGAGAATATGAAGAAACCTGCCGTCCTTTTGGCATTGTATAGATTGAAAATATATGCATTACAATGACTTATTTAAATTTTCAATCCTTTGACCTTCTCTCTCTTTTCTTTCTCGTTTTCTCATTTCGTTTTGATAAATTGTAAGAGGCCTACAATAGTTAATGTCTGCAGCATTGAAAGACCTTCGATTAACTATCAATATCAAAGCATGTTATTCATCTCGCGTCCT